GCAAGCTATTAGCAGTTTCTCTACCAATACAAGAGCATTCAATCAATGCAATTCGTGATAATCTAAAGATGTTTGTCCTGTATGTTTTACTGCAAGTTTTTCAATTATTTTTTAACAGTCTTTTTGTAACTTTTAGTGTTATTGCTTGTATTACACCGTCGTTGATAGGACCGAATTGATCAGCCTCTGTTGGCATATGGCTCCTATGCGGATGCCTCGATATGGCCTGTCTTTTAACTATGTTTAGTAATGATGGGCAGTGGCTAGCAGGGAAATCCAGGATGCGCATTTGAAGCGATCGCTCCCGAGTCCGAGTCCCGGTGGGAACAACATCACTCACTGGGAAGCAGGTACATCCAGTCTTTTTGTAACTGCTCATATAGGAGTTAAACCACTGCATTGTGGTAGGATCTAATTTGTCTGATGTAGAGCGTAGTTACATAGTATTATCCACTTGATGATTTTCAATGATAAATTGTTACTTTTTATCAAATACACGTATTGACATAATTCTAAAGGTCGGGTTTTTATAGCCCCTTCAATTCAAATTCTTCGTTTTTTAGTGGCTGTAGAATTTTTTGAATCTTCGGAATCGGTCTTATGTCGTTCCAGTAACATGTATTGTATGCTAATTCTATGAACAAGGACTCGGCAATCAGTTTATCCCTCCTTTATTATGGGTTACTTGGTGACGGTTAAGAGTGAAATTTAGGATGTGCGTTTTGTCTTGGTTTTAGATAATCGTATACCAGTGAATGTTGCTGACGAGTCCAAAACAGAATAGAAAGTACATCTGAGAGGTAAATAATGTCAAAATAAACTTGGCCAAATATCGAGGGATCCGTTAAAGAAAACTTTTTGTTACAAGGGACCGATCAATTCTATCCAGTATTACTGACCAGTAGATAATTGTAAGGATCAGGGACTAATCTCTCGCTCCATATAATGTGTATGCTGGAACTCAATACAGTAGCTTTATCCCACCTAACTGGATGATTATGTCAGTTCAGGTGTCGCTATAGCTCAGTTCTTACTAGATAACTTACCTTGGTATTGTTTACGGTTCTACATCTGGATAAACTTTTACGCCACGACGATGTAAAATAAAAGTCACTGCATGGTATTTGATAGGTCAAAATATTTTGTTTAAATGGGTCAGCAGGATTCTAAGGCAGACAGATTTTGTTTCTGCGTAAGTTTGTGGGTTTGAACGGAACTTTAATTCCAGCCTTACTGAGAGTTCTAAACAGAGTTTCTTCCTAACGTGACAGTCTCCTCAAATATCAGTAAAATCCAGTTTAGTTAGATGTTTAAATATTATGGATAGAAAACTCAATACTCGGTCCAAGTATCTAAGTAATGAAACGAATAATTTATGAGATACTTTATTATTCACCAATAAATCTTTAGAGTTTATTAAAAACGAATTAATAACAGTGTGAATAGTAACGGAGTTCAAAGCTTCCATTGCGTTGTTACATGCCTAGTCGCCTTCTGCCTTGTTGAACAATGCTAGCTGAAGCAGGTTCAGGGTGAAAAAGGACTGAAGCATCTCATCAGTTAATGGAGTCAGTGGCTGTTGGTATAAGCATCATAGGTGGATGTAGACTTCTTTTAAGGCCGAAACGGTTGTAAGATCTAGCTGGTACATAGACTGAATCTCAATGGTGCTAATGTATGAAAGTATTATCTTCATTTTAGTCGTCAGAGTAGATTCAGTGTTTAGTCATCACTCCTTGTTCTGTTTTGATGACTTCTACTACTTAGAGTATTTTTTACTTACTTCTTTATTTTTCATTTTGTTTCAGTTTTGTTTCATATGCTGATATGAGACTTGGTAACGTGGATCATCACTCAGAATTTCCAGTTTCTTGCTGATCTGTTTTACGAAAAAACGGTCAGTACCAGTTTTGATATCCCTTGTTTTGGGAATTTCACGTGTAGAATTTCCTTGGTAATTTCGGTTCATCAACATGTTGTTTAATTAACCCGCTACGGTGACTTCAACAAACAATGCTAAAATCTTCTAGCCGAGTTCTGTCTGTTATCTCTGCTGTTTCCAATTTACATACGTACTTTGTTCTCACTCAAAAATAAAGTTTCTCACTTTCTCCATACTAATTCTATGTTTCTTCTAGGCTGCTTGGAATTAAGATGAAATTGTGGAATAGATATTAGCCCAGTCTACTCTGCATACCTTGTTCTTCTTGCTTTGACAAATATGGAAATGAGAGGTGAATTCTAGACATGAAACTGTTCCCACTTTCATGACGCGAATTACTCTGCTGACAGGTATATATATCATCCATTAGTGTAAATTCAAATTGAATCAAACGGTAAAACGATAAATAAACAAAATTCTACTAAGCGGAGTTACGATCAGGCAGAATATTTATAAGATTTACCTGCAAACATCGGGAATAATGTTAAGGTTTGTATGTTCAGTTTCATTTCTAATAATCTACACAACTTAATGACCAAAACTAAGTAGTTGAGAGAATCCTTTTTGTTGAACGAACAATTCATCATTATGCCAAATGACTTTTATCTAATCCTGTTTCTTTTTGCACTGAATATTTCCGCTTGATTCATTTAGGAGATTTGTTATTGAGTCACTTCATATATGTACACGTAGATTCACACGAAAACATTTTAATCCTAGTGGAAGTTTAGAATGATAAATGAAGAATTCTAATTTTCATAGATTAATTATGAATTCAAAAAAAAATGAGAGGAAGATGTTACTGATGAACTGAACAACTTTTTCAGTTTCTCCTTAAGTACCCAGGCATTTTTTGTATATTTGTTTAGATATGGGCATACCTAAAGTACTGGTGAGTTGGTTAAATAAAGGCTCGAAAGTGAAGCAGCTCTTGTTTCAGTGCGAATCAGGCACCAGTCTGATACTTTTGCTCGTGATCAGAACTTACTGAGCTGAAAGAATAAGTTAGAATGATATCTGTAACAACTGATACTTGTGACACAAAACACGACTGTCGTGCTCCAGAGGTAACGCTTAGGCGTTGGAAGCGACGGATACTGGCTTTCAGTCTCACTGAGAACAACATCACTTGCTGGGTGCAGGTACATTCAGCTGGCGAACCCCAAATAGGATGAAATGCGGGTCCTACATTCCACTGCTAGCTACAAAGTAGACTACAACGTAAATAAACAGAGGGATTATTAAGAATTGAATGGAATCATCCTTGAAGACCGTTGGGCACTTACAATTTATTTAGCAAATTAGTATTAATATATTTCTTTCCAACGAAAATAACTGACACAAGAACCAAATTTACTCAAAACGGAACAGAAAAAGTGCAATCAAACAACGCGCTGAATGTACATTTCTATGTTGCTTCTGTCACTGTGCTTTGTGCTTTTTTCTAAAGACATCATCTGTGATACTAAACAAAAACATTGCTAAGAAACCCAAGGTTATTGTCATGCTGCTGTCGTCACACACTGAAACCAGGTATGATAAAGACAGTTAAAGCGTTTGAATAAGTGGTCGGATATTAACTTAAGTAGCTGGGTAGTTGAGTAGTCTGTACCGACAGAATTATGTCGTCCATTTGGCTCAGTCAAACCATATTGGTGCACTGTAATTTACAGCAAGATGTTGGATATCAGTTAGTCATAGGCCCACTAACCAGGCTTTCATCCTTGTTGCGTTTCATCAGCTGGGCCCAACCGCAGTCGAACGACTAGTTATATATAATGCTAAACACGACAAAATGATCTTACTTCAGTGAGTGTCGTTTAATGAAAATAACTTTTTCTCCAGAAATTTTCCATGAGAGTGGTCTAATTTTGATTCTAAGCAACATTTTTAATATTTCACAGAAAATTTTAAACTGTGCAGTTTGTGGTCTTTATTGAAGGTAACTATGATTTAGTTGCAGTAGAAGTGTCATGAGTACTGTTTAATTTACCGGAAGGTTTTCCACATAAATTGAGATGAACTAAGCACTTCCCCCCTGCTGTCATTCATGAAAATTAACACATAAGTCCTTTTAGTAACAGTAACGAATCTAGACTTAGTAAAGGAGAAATGAATATCAAATCTGTTAAGAATCATGATGAAGAAGCACTGGTACACAGTATTCTACACGAAAGCACGAATTTAGAAAGTCATTATGTTCTCCAACGAGCTTCTCATTGAGACCTTATTCAGTGTTGCAATCAGCGACATGCTTTTTGTTTGCATTCATATAGATGAAGGAGGACAGTAATGAAAGTTTAATTTTTTCTGTAAGTAAAGTAAAAGATATCTGCCACCAGTTGTTACTTGGAAAGTTATCTAAAAGGCAGCGAGCTTAAGTAAAGCCTGAAGTAGTTACAACAAAGTGCACCAGTGCACTGAAGATTTTACAGAACTATATGGTACACGATAGTAGATAATTCGAAATTAAATTCCAATTAGTCTTTAAGAAGGAATGACCTGCAGCCATATGACATTAATTTATGTTCAAAGTATTGAAACAGCTGAAAACTAGTTTTCAGTGGTAAGCGGTGTATTTAATAAACAGATATAAAGAATACGAAATGTTTGTTTATTTTGTTATTTGTTCTGATACACTACGCCGGGATTACACAAGTAAAAATGTACCTTCTACGATGAAACCTTACCTTATTACAAAAACGTCACACCACACCACACACATACGCTTGTCTGACTATTATGGTCACAACAGCCAACTGATGAAGAGACATGAACCAGAAGTAAGGACTTATCGACCAGTTTATAACTCTCTAAACATCGGCCAATATGAATATTTATGTTGTTGTTGAGCTCAGGTAAAATGATGAATAACGACTTAAGATAAAAATATCAAAAAGCTTTAGGAAACTACTGGTAAACATGCACTGGAAAAAAGGGCTACGTTTCCTTGCATGACGAACCTAAAGTACTCTACTCTGTGTTCTTCTTTGATTATTATTACTATGATTATTGTTATTATCAGCATATGGTTTTGTTAGACTCAGGAGACATAAAAAACAGTATAAAAAATTTATTTCAAATGATTTTCAGATCGAATATTCTAGACATTTGAGGTTACACTTTGAAATTTATACAGGTTGCAAAAAATGAAAAACTTCCCTTACTGAAGATTCAGTGGGTATATAATAAAGGCAGTATCACAGATTTTATTACCAAGAAATGAAAAAAGTTAGAAGTGAAAAGAAACTGAAGAATATATGTACACACAAAGACAGAAGTTATTGTTAGACAGTGAAGACAGAAGATAAACAGAACTGATTGTTGAAGTTAAGATTTGTGACACATTATGTTCTAAAAAACGATAATACGACAAAAAACTATCACACATGATATTTCAGTGTTCTTTAATACATTTCACTCAAATTTTATTCGAATAAGAGTTTGTACATGTTTCTAACTCGAGGTAATTTCTGAAAAATATAACAGTTAATGTAGACAGGCGGCAACAGAAGGAAATTTAATTCACTATGATACATCTTAACAAATGTTTAGATTAAAAGTGTAGCGACTGAGGTCATTATTGAGTAAGGTAGTTGAGACAGTTGAAAAGTGGATAGTATATCAGTGTGACTAAACAAAACTCACAAAAATGTATTACTGAAGAGAGTGAGGTTGAGATTCACAAAATTAATAAAAAGTGAAATAGAAATCAATATTAATTGTGTTTTTACATATCATCATCTATGAAAATTCGTGCAATGCACAATTCATTCGGATTGCGACTAATGACAACCACAACATACGGCAGATTCGCTCTTTCATTGTTAGTTGTAATTCTATAAAAAATATTGAGAAAAGTTAAAGAAAATATTAGGTGGCATAGGTTTTGTCCAAATCAGTCTCATCAATTTTATGGTAAGCCCATAATTAAGGATACCATTCCAGAAACATTGTTTATATAAAAAATAATTGGGCAGGATGAATACGTATAAAGCTTAATTCACGCCTTACAAAAATTCCTGATCACGAATATTCAAGCAAAACGCAGTCGACTGGCCACGACGTTTAATGGAATATTTATTCATATGCCCTAGGCTACATAGAAAAATATCACCCTATAAATAAGAGACCATTAACTCTTAGTTTCCTCTTGCATACAGTGCATCATATAAAATGTGCAGTATCAATTCATTGTCATTTCCATAGCCTCTCTTGGTCATCCTGAAGAAGAACATTAGTAAATTGTGTTAGCTTCATCTACGATAATCATCAAGCAACGAAATCAAGGTAAATTGAGGTGTCTAACATTGTTTAGGTTATTTGTGAACCTTTACAGCATAGAACTGAACAACTGAAATTTTAAACGACGAAACTTGCCGACTGAGTAAGAGAAAATTTCCTTCTCTGAATTATCTCTTCTTTCCTCGATGACTGAAATTTTCATCGAGAAATATGACGATGTAGACCACGAGATTAGGTAATAGTATGACAGTAGTTTAACCTTCCCAAAGTATCTTTTAATTTATCACATTATCCCGCATAAGAAACTTTTTGTGATTTGTCATGAAAACCTTATGAATAAACTATAATTTTATCTAAGATTGCATGCGCTCACCAAATGAATAATTTTCCTCGTTTACAGGTCCCGATTTAACCTTCATTATTAATTTCTTTGGTATTATCATAACACTGTTGAGATATACAGCTAAATTTTTAATTAGTGTTGAACTAATGCTCAAATCATCAAGGATGCTGCATATTACTCGGAGTCTATCAAGTCTCAGTTAAGTCAATGCAAAACTAATTTAGTTCATAACATGCATCAAGTAAGTTGAATTCTCCATATACCTTGTTAACAATCACAAACTAAATCTTTGACCCTGAAAAAATTATTCACTGTGCTTGGTTTATTAACTAGATCCTGGTGACTGATGCAGAAAGAATTTAATTTATTGAGGTGTGCTTTGACAAAATAAAGAATATTTTAACTGACCATTATGGTGTATTTCACTTTGCAAACACAGATTTATTCTTTTGCACACTTACAGGGACACTGTTACGTCCAAATTTTGGGTTTCATATAAAAACCCTTTAGGAGAACAGTGCATATGTGTGCATAGGAAATACACAAGACTTGGTAACAGGAACGTTTATTATGGTTACTACTGCCTAGTTGTAATTAATTACTTCAGAATTAGTATTACTATGTAGTGAATAAAATTTGATTGAACAATATGAACAAATTTTGCGAATGGGTAAGAATTACAAAAACCTATTCTGTATTTCCACTGTAAGTAGATGTTTGAGAAATTTAGACTGACTGTTCATTCGAGGCATTTTGTTCACAAATACAGGGAACAGATACATAATTATATCAATATGAACAGTTTCAAAAAGTAAGCATAGTTATCAGTGTTATGTTACTTTGCTCACAATTATTCTTCTACATGTGCAGGTGATCGTGTCATTATTTTATCTAACACTTGGTTTCAACAGTATTGGTTTGTAAAACAATAAGCAACACGCAAGGTTAATTTATACAAGATCCGCGTTTTCAAGGTTTAATGCATTGCATTATCTTTTAATGTTGATAATATTTGTGAATTATATAAAGCGCAGGTAGGAGACGAAAACATTGGTAGGACTGGAGTTGATGTTGAAATATGGACTACTTCTAAACGTTTATTGAAAGTGATCAAACCCCTCATCCAAGATGAGACTAGGAAGTAACTCAAGGGAAATTAGAAATTTCATATTACTTCATCATTTATAAAAATCAGGTGGTATTTTTGGTTTGTAGAAACAAAAAACCCACAAATTTTAGTCTCCCACATTTAAACAAATAGAACTAGTGATATGTTTGGAATGTAGTTTACCGATAGGCTTTAAAAAATGCAACCGTTTGTGTAGCGCATTATTAACAAGTTCCCTTACATGTAACTTTTAAAGCCTTACTGAACAAAAATAGATTTCTAAAACGGAAATGGAATAAAATAAGACACTATTAAATAGGATGTTATTTTACATTAAATATTTGGTATTAAGTAACTGCAGTGGCAAAATTTTGCGAATTGTCTACAGTTATAACTGTTTATGATAGATTTTCGGTGTTAGCATTGCCTTACAAAAGAGTTCAGGCCAGTTTAGATCAACTGTATTGAATACTAAAAAAACGTAGTATTTCGGTTTTCAGTATGAATCAATCTATGGAAACAGATTTGAATCTACAGTGTGAATTTCTTTGTACTTCTCTGGTTAATGTTAACAATTTTAAACCTAGTAGAGAACAGTATAATTGCTTGTGTTATACCATCATTGATTGAACCGAACTGATCAGTCTCTGTTAGCATATGAGTTAATGTGCCTTACCTTGATATTATATGTGTTCTAATTACAATGAAGGTAGGTAGTGGCTAGTGGCAGAATCAAGTATGCGCATTTCTTTCTGTTTGGGACTCGTTGGCTGGATGTACATTCCTAGCAGTGAATGATGTTATCTCCACCGGGATTCGGACACTTGTTTTTCAGGGAAGCAGGTTGAGTGGCAATTATCAAAATGGTCCTGTTAACTGTATATAAATATATTTTGAAAGCGTTTAACAAGAGACTGCATATTGTATTATTATTTAGTATATTGGTGCTACTTGTAGGTAACTTACTTGATGCTCCATTTATTGATGACCTGGTAAATTCTTGCGATAAATGACTGAACGTATTTACATTTGAGGGGGTTTCGAATACAAGGTGAACTTCCTTACTGGTACCATAATATTTGTTGATGGCTTATTTGACTGTAAAGTGTTATAAGCTATAGTCTGGGAAGCCACTATACTTGGTTTCATGAAGTTTCTAGAGAGTGAAGGAATATCTTCGGCATTAGTTATGTAATGCTGCCCAGTCATAGCTTGTAGACTGACAACATACAATGTGCTTGGCAGAAGATTGTCCAGAACGATGAACGTTTCACTCTGTTGAAAATAATACGAATGAATGGATAAATACAGATCAGGAAATAATTCGATGCGTTCGATCATCAGTATCAAAAATGCCTAAAGTTCAGAGCGACATATACATAAGAAAACTTATTTATAGTACCTAACAGTCATGAAATGCTGTGGTGACTTAGGTATTAATTAATATCTAACAACTTACTGAACACAATGTGATATGATTTTGTATGTGATGTATTGTTAGGTTTAAAACGCAGAGCTTTATATTTCAAATAAGTAAACCGTATTTCTCAAAAACTCGTCATATGTATTTACAGAGTATGATCCAGAATTTACTGTCTGCAAATAATACAGTAATCCCGTCCACATTTAGTGAACAGATGTATCACTGATCTAGCATTATGAAGTCTAAAAGGGGAAGATTATGATTTTTTTTAGAGTTACTGAATGATAATAATGATGGTGAAAGGTTAAGATTGTTTACACAGAGATAGAAACATGTTTCACATTATACGCGTCGAAGTAATTTGTGAAACAAACCATAACGAAAATATTGCAGTTGCTTTCCAGACAGACAAGTGAAATCAACGCAGTGAATCGAGTCAATTTGTCACACTTAACAGTAGTATACAAATAACGATTGAACAGAAGAAGACTGATATCGAAATAGAAAGAGGTGCAAGTGAGCAGAAAATATTTTGAAATCAAGGTGAGTGAAAATATTCAAGCTTTGGAAGACACTAAAATGTGAATATGTTTGAAACATTGTAACCAATTTTCAGCCATTCCATTAGAAGCATTTTAACCACAAATTTTTGTGGCATCGGAGGCATTAAATATGCAACCTACATCCCCTACATGGCTAAAAATAGAAGTCAGAAACGCCATGGAATGGTACCATGTCTCGGTCTTTCAAACCTGAGCTCTCTTTTAAGCGAATCCAACTTTCCATGGAACTGCGTGTTGAGGTAGGCGGTGCCTGGTCATGCTCAATATGTGTCACAGGCGTCTCTGTCACTGAACATTCACGACCTTATCGACCAAATAGCTTGTCTTACTCAGTGTTCATCCTCTAATCTCTACATTGCTCACAAAAAAATCCCGCCGTACACCAGCAATGCTGAGAAAAAAGCATGTTCGAGTACCTGTAATCTCTTCACATATTCTACTTTTAACTGCCGTTTCTCATAGTGGCATAATAAAGTAAAGTAAACTGTAGTGGACTGTTCTCATTCTTTGACATGCAGTCTGATATCATTTCAGTCGGCCTCAAAAATAACGCAAGTTGTCAAGTGCCAAAAGGAACTTTCATATCCAAACTGAGACTTAGTCAACAACTGCTCTATTCCGGCTGATACAACACTTTGAATAAGTGTAGTGGCTGACACATCCAACTTCTTCAGTCTCCATCATTAAGCTGAAAGTAGTCCTGGAGCATCATCTGATATTTGACTGATCTGAGACACATGCCAAACATGCGTAGATTTCTGCTCATGTGTTCATAAGATCCTACATTTTGTCAGCATCGTAGACCAACGGGGTAGTATGGTCTGCATACTCCAAGTTGGCCAGATGTCCGGCACGAAGTAGATGAATCCTTGTGAATTCAGTGGTACCTAAGGTTATGTCCATTATTACATCTATAACGGAGTTAAACATGTACAGTACAGCATGCACCCCTAACAGACACCGCTGATTATCGCCATTTAAACGACGATGCTCAATAAGCCGTAACTCTGTTATGTAGTTTTGGATAGAAAGATTCAACTAACACTACGTATTTACTCAGTATTTCTTTCCCAGTCGAACACCTCCACAAAACCTGTCGATCAACAGAATCAAATGCCACTTTCGTATCAAGAAATATGACAAGTGTTGGTCATTTCTCAGTATACCTGTGTTCCATAACCAGTCGACGAGTGAAGATTTGATTGGTGCACCCTCACACACACTTTAATCCTACCTGGGTTTCTGCAATTTGCTATTCTCGAGCTAGTTATGGATTTCGGGAATGAGGTGGTATCAATTGGAAAAATTTTAAGGAACCCTGATCCGTAGCAAGTAGAGTACTGAACTGGATGAAGTTCATCCATTTTAACAAACTTTTATAGCAAGAGAGAAAACACAATGTGCACACCAAATAACAGATTTCCCAATGAGATGAAAAATAAGCCATATATACTAAATTTCTTACATTTCGTAAAACTTTTGTCTCTGCTCTAGACTGGTCTATTCGTGGGCGAAGATTTGGCCATGACTTCCAAACAACTGATTTCATTCCAGTATCCCTACTGGGGCCCCATATGATTCTGAAAAGCCAAATGGAAAGTATTTTGTTGTAACTGGAATTGTTGTGTTTGAATTGAATTAGACACATCTGATTGATGAAGTAGGAATACAAACTGAATTTAGTAATTAGATGGATGAATTATCTTCAATAATGTTTTAGCACAGTTTACTTGTTCAAGATCCACATTTCAAATAGTGATTTATCATCAATAATTGAAATTGTTCACGTAACTACTCCACATTTCAAGGATAATAGTGGCCACTTGTAGATTATAATTCCAACTAATAACTTCGATAAGTAAAAAACCTTGATGACATTATTCTTCTGGTTACTTCTCAGTTATCACTTAACACCTCCTAGGCATCTTACTAACAGTGCGAATTTATAAAGTTTTTAACCTCAGAAAATATCTCTGTGATGGTAGAGAAGGTTTTGAGCTTGGAATAGGTTGACAGTTGGTATCCTCCGCGCTTTGAGGTTTGTCTATGGAAGTTTCATCACCAAGCTAGGCGACTAAATGAGGATTTGTGAAATGAATGCTGATGAAATCTTCCAACCCTCTTATGAAACTTTCAGGAATAAAACTTAAAAATTGGGAACACCAAGCATTTCCAATATTCCAATATTCCTTCACCAGTTTACATAAATATAATCTAGTAAATGCTACATTCACTGCCACTTGTGTTAAGTGGATCGAATGGGAAATAGTTTTGCTTAGTAATGAATTAATAGTTGTTAAATTTGTTCGACAAAAGGACATCTAAGTGAATGCTTACGAGTCAGGACAACAAAGTCCCAGTCTACAAAGTGAATGGTGCAGAATAAATGCCGCAAAGTACATTGTGAATATCATTCAGTGGTTTGAATAGTGCACTAGTGCTTTGTTATTGGTAGACGTCTTTGTAAGAATGATGATTGAACCCTGATAGCAACCTTTGAAATATAAATTAAAGATTTCACTTATATATAACTTTACTAGTTCATTAAAGGTGATAAGTTCATACAACATCTTAGTATGATGCTCTTTCAGCTTGAAGAACAAGAAATACCTCACAAAAAAATCAATAACGTTACAAGATAAGCGGAAAACGCGATACGATTCCAAACAAACCTCGTTAGAGGAAAACGTTACACCTTTTCTGGCGCTTTATTTACATATTCATAAGACATCATGACCTAGCTTTTTTCTCACCTTACCTATGACGTAACATGCAATAGCAACTACTACTCTACTACCCTTAAATAGTTTCACGAACAGACTGTTATGATCTGCATGAAAACATCCTTATGAACATGCTCAGATTGTATCCAGAATACAAGAATTAACAGGTGTATAGCTTTCCATAAGACGTTTATTCAAAAAAACAATGCATTAAAATCAGATGCTGGAAGTGTTATATTTTCCAGTGACTAGAATCACTTTATTCGCTGTTTGATTTTTCTTCATCTTGAGATCCCTGTTTGTATACCAGTTCTTTTAAATCTAACCTAAGCAAACAACCACATCTTGATGTCCATTTATTTAGCTAGAGCATCAGCTATCTCTTTCTGACTTTTCCTGCTAGTAGAAATGACTGCTTTGTACAAAGTTTATGAATACAGTTTCCTTGATTGGCACTAAAAAGCATAGTTATATGGGAGTGCTGGCAAAAAAAAGTGAAATCTTTATGCTCACTAATGTTTAAGGGAAATGATGTCAACAAATAAACAGGTGTTGGGCAGTATTTATTCGTATGAGCAATGTGAGCTTGGTAATAACGTTAACAGAGTAAGAATAGAAGTGCCAACTTAGGTGTTGACTTACCATCCACTCACATGTGAAAGTGAAAGCAGACTAGAAAATTGTAAACATCTTAGCTTCCAAAGGGTTGATGAAAATGGAGCATTTGTTGCGCAAGCTACCTAGTTAATTGAGGAAATTGAAGATAACAAGACGACAGAAAAGCAGCTATTTTCAGCCGAAAGTATCAGTTTTCTTAGTACTCAATTAAACTATAAGAGTAGGGGGTGGTTATAAAGTATAAGTAAAAACCTGACTTACCTGTGATGCACAGGAAAAAGGATTTTATTCGACTTGCCGCTGTAATCTTCTTTAGTGGTAGGATAAACAGGACCATCATATCTTGGTTTCAAGACTCCTGATTTCCATGATATATTGTAACTTATTGTCGGTACGACAGAAATCTGTTTGTAAGATACATTTTTCGGTTCCGTTATAATATCTAAAACTGGATTTAAGAAACAACGGTCACTAAGTATGTGAAGTAGTTTATTGAACTACTATCCTTGTGAATTTTTAAGCAGCAACTATTACCAATTTGAACTTTGTTCTGTAGCAAACCAAATGAAGAGAAAAGATTCACTAACTGCATTAGCTTATGTTTTGGTCACAAAGTTATTTCAGAAGTGATTTTCTTTAAAATGTGATATAACTGGTCGATTTATCAGCACCAAGTAGCTGATACTTACAGAAGTAGAGGATTTTGTTGTGATGAGCCTATTATGAGATAGCTTTTGGTCTATTTTACTTCTATTTAAAGCATACATCTGTATATACACGAGTAGTGAAAATAAATAGGGAGTGTTACTTAAATTCCTTTTCATGGTAGTGTTTATCGTGAACTGACATCAAATAGAGATCTAATGAAAACCTGGGAGCATTGGAAATCTGTTCCGTTCCAGTATGAAACCCCTCAGGAGCTCGCACTTACAACTCAGACAACAATTGTACCAAGATCCACCAGATTTCACAGCGGGCACACCAACATTTAGCCGCCTGGTCGATATTCAGTGGTCTCTGTTTCCTTACTTCTGTCGACTCAAGATACAGTGCCACCTTCATTCAGTGTCATCGCTGAGTATTGTTCCTTACTTCCGACTTTGTTTGACCCCACTGGTAGTGACTTCTGAGTAGAACTTCAGGAAATCTCATCTCAAAGGATGTCACCTGTGATCAGTGAACAGCAGTTCAGTGTAAAGGTTTGCAAGAATTTATTGCTGTATGGTTTCAGTAGGAAAAGGTCAGTTTTTGTAAGCTGCATATCGAGAAAAATAAAATCACTCACACTGGCAGTTAACCTCACCTGGTTAACTAGTTCACTAGTTACCAGCCCGTCCTAAGCCCGGGTAAAGAGGGGATGTTGGTGCGTAGAGCTGGCAACCCTATCCCGTAAAACCAATCCAACCACTAAAGAAACTTCAAAACACAAGCAAAATATAAAAGTAAAAACAAACTAATTTCGTGTTGGAATCAGAAAGGCTAAATGACGCCGATTGGTGAGAGCCTTCGAGAAGTCGATTGGCCGATCTGTCTTCTCTCTCTCGATGAAAGCGAAAGTAAACGTCGGGACATAGAATGTCCGCACGATGTTTGAACCCAGCAAGGCAGCCCAGATTGCAAACGAGATGAAAAGGTATCACATTGAAGTGCTAGGAATTTGCGAAAGCAGATGGAATGGAAGTGGACGCTCCAAACTGTCAGTTGCAGAGTCAATAATCTACTTCGATATTGTCACCCAGACGACAACCACGACCACACTGAGTCATGGAGTGGCTATCATGATTTCCCCTTGAAGAGCATCGAAGGCTCTCTCTCATGCACTGGGAACCAATCTCCTATTACAGGATCAGGGTAATGACAGCAAGACTCAACTCAAAAGGAAGGAAGCAAAGTCACAACCATCAATCCTACGCAACGCTACACACCTACAAATGGTGCAGACAACTGCAATCAACACTGGACAAGACCTCAGTTGGCGACATCAAAATTCTAGTGGATGACATGAATGCCCAAATAGGAGAAGACAACAGAGGAAGGGAACTGTGCATGGGTGGAGAAGCACTCGGTGAAATGAAGGATGGAAATGGAGAATTGTTTGCAGATTTCTGAGCACTCAACGATTTGGTGATTGGAGGCAGTGTGTTCAAGCAAGGCATATCCACAAAGTGAGCGACATGGATTTGATTTCACCAGAAACCAGGACACACTACGCTAAAAATCAGACCAACTTCATCTCAATGTGAAGAAAGTGGAGACGCAGTCTACTTGACACAATGTCAAGAAGGGGAGTAGATGTAGGCTCACACCACTCACTATCTAGTGCAACCAACCTACCTTCAAAATCAAGTTGAAAAACTTCACACAAGTTGGTGATAGACCACGGTTCAAGTTCAACACCCACAACAGAAACTGAACTGAAGGACGAAACTAAAAGGGACATCTTCACATCAGTCAGCCATCACGGGAAAATGGGAGATATTGAGCAGCATCCCTGAAGAAACCTGCGTTGATAAGCACTGGAACTCTTTGAAAGCTATGTAGAAAGAAACCTGCATAAACATATTAGGAAGGAAGAAGAAAGAAGACAAGGAATGGATCTTGATTGACACATGGAAGCTGATAGAGGAGAGAAGGATGGTGAAGAAGAAGATAAACCAGTGCAAGGATGCACAACAACAAGAGGAACTGAATACAATGTATGCAACACTGGACAAAAAAGTGAAGGAGAGTGCACGGAAAGACAAAAGACACATCCACGACACACTGGCAAGTGAAGCAGAACAGGCTGCAGGTAGGAGAGACAGAGACCTAACAACATCATATCAAATAACCAGGTTACTTACTTCATAGGAAGAGATGAACACAGATGAAACCAATAAGAGATAGTGAAGGAAACTTTGTTACCGAAGAGGAGAAACAAAGGAAACGATGGGCTGACAGCTTCAGAAAGCTCTTAAATCGACCACCACCTGCACTTCGTCCAGAAATACCACCTGCAGCCCAACCACTGAACTACAAGTGAACATAAATCCTTCAACAAAAGTGGAAGTCCTGAGCACCATAAAGCTACTGAAATGTGGGAAAGCACCAGGACGCCAGAAGCACCGAGAGCAGACACAGTGACAACAGCAGCAGACATGCTCGCACCACGCCACTATTGCAGAGGGTATGGAAGGAAGAGAAGGTACCTGGCGATTTGGAGAGAAATTACCTTGTCAAACTCCCGAAGAAGGGAGACCTCAGTGTTTGCAAGAACTGGCGCGGAATCACTCTCCTGTCCACCCAATGCAAGCAAAATATTAGGCCGCATCATCCTGGAGAGGCTAAAGGATGCACTGGATTCAAAACTACCACCGGAACAGGCAGGCAGGCTTCAGGAAGTAAAAATCATATGCAGACCAAATTGCAACGCTTCGCATCATCATACAACAGAGCATAGAATGGCAGTCAACTCAACTCTACCTCAACTTCATCGATTTTGAGAAAGCCTTCGACAGCATCGGCTGACAAGTAATTTAGCAGGCAGTTGCTTCAACACTACAGAATACCATAAATCTTTATCAACCTCATTCAAAAACTATATGAAGATGCCACATGCCAAGTAACTCACAATGGGAAGCTCAGTGATGATTTTGAAGTGAAGACAGGAGACAGGAGTGAAACAAGGTTGCCTACTATCCCTCATGATATTCCTGATTGTGGTCGACTGGATAAGGCAGCAAACAGTGGGGAGCTGTGAGAAGAGGGGGATACGCTGGACTGCGGAAAAGAACCTAGAAGAATGGATTTCGCCGATAACTTGTGTCTGATGTCACATCAACTTGAAGATCTACAGGCGAAAACTAACAAGTTGGCAGAAGAGGCAGGGCAGCGAAAACAGGACTTCAGGTGAATATAGAGAAGACAGAGGTGATGAAGATACAGCACCACCACCAACAACAACAACAACAAGCTCCGATCACCATGAACGGGAAAAACTTAAAGGAAGTAGCTTCCTTCACCTATCTAGGAAGCGCTGTTTCAACTACAGGCCGCACAGGTGAGGACGTCAAAGTCTTGATCGGAAAAGCAAAACAGGCGTTCATTAGCCTGAAACCAGTGTGGAGATCTTCTGCACTCCACTCAGCATGTAGAACAAGTTGCGGATTTTCAACACCAACGTCAAGTCAGTGCTTCTGTATGATGGTTGAGAGACTTGGCGCGTTACGAAAGGCATTTCCAACAAACTACAAACATTCATCAACAACCGTCTACGCTAGTTACTGAAGATCAGATGGCCAGAAGAATAAGAATAAGCAACAAGCAACTCTGGCTGGATAACTAACCAACCAAGAACCTATCACCCAACAAATATGCAGTAGAAGGAAGTGGAGATGGATTGGGCATACACTGGAAGGTCGACTGGGGACATGGCGCGCCAGGCCATGCCGTCGAGTGGAACCCAGATGGGAAGCGTCGAGTTGGGCGTCCCAGCTGAGGGTGAGATGGAGGAGATCGTGCGAGGAGGAAATGAGAGGTTGTGGGGTGTCATGGAGCCAGGTTGAAAAGATTTCAGAGAACAGAGTGCACTGGAGATGTGCTACTGAATCGTTTTGTTCCATTAGGAACCCAAGGTACAAATAATAATAATACTAATACACTGGCAGTGAAAACTGGCTTGTTTATGAGTTATACAACTCATAAAACACCTCTTCTTAGATCTATTTGCCTTAAAGTGTGCTTTCTAACTTCTAGTTTCACTTACGTTTGTTTGTCCTAGGTAATTGTAGACCACTGGATAGTTTCAAAACACTTTCGATGATTTTTGGAGCCCGGTCAAAGTATAAAATGAAGTCAATTAACCTCTGAGACTTGTATAACTTTTTGCGCCATCTTTTAATTGATAACAGACGAATCACACATCGCAATGTTAAGTGACTGAATGAAAATGTGAACTTGCATCTTGCTTTGTCCTACATGCAGAAAAACTATCAAATGCCTAAAATAAATATAGGTCAATGATTTTGTAAACCTTTTTGGGCCGCTTACAACGTTATTGGTTCAAAACGACAAAGCCGTTCTGAAGTTATATAAATTGCATTTCACTGGCTTGGCAAAGTTGGCGAATAAACAAACAAACTCAAGACAAATAAATGCGGACTGTGAACTGACCTTGTGTGGCCCCTGGACAATTCGGTTTCTTGATCCATGAGGCTAGCTTTACAGCAGAACAGGTTGGGGTACACAACCATGCTGACAGTTCGACATTGTACTGCGGTGAGTAATCAGATGGAAATTCTGTATCAGATTGTTGTGATGAATCTCGATTCTCAGCTAACAGTTCAATTAGGTAACGACAATTGAAATATAGATTTGTTAGCTGTAATGTAGCGTACCTCAGTACAGATAGCATTTGCTTTGAACTACCAGACTGGCCTTCGCTCCCTTTTTTTAGTGGATTTAATAAAATATATTTTTCATTCGATTTAAGTGATCCCTTACGTCCGCTGTCTTTTTCTGTGGGCACGTGTGAATGCTTGGAGAACTGATCAAGATTATTAGCAATCAAAGCTTCTGACTGAAACGAAGCTGTTTCTTCCAAATTGTTTCCGGTCACAATGACAGTCTCGATGCAAACTTGAGGTGTCCATCGAACAAGAATTGGACGGGAGTTTACTGTTACAAACAAACAAATACACAAGAAGAACTATTATTCATTTTGAAACCATTCAGGAGAAAAAATCAAAAAATCCTTTTATAATATTTTTCATAAAACAGATAAAAGCCGATAAACATCTCAGGTTCCAAGCTGTACATCGTTTCAAAACTTTTTAAAAAACCTGTGACTAGCCAGTACTTTCATTAGTTTATTTCTTAAGACTTTTATTCCCTATTGAGACGTAAAACTTTCACCGTCAGACTTTGGAAAACAAAGCACGAAGTTATTTAGTTTCGTATACCCTTTTTAGCAGAGGAATTTTTCATTTGGTCTTTAGGACCTAAATTATTCTCCTTATGGAAATTTCCAGAATCACTGGCAGTTTGCTTCAGTCGATCAGGGAGTTACTTGGTAGGAGATAAAGAGTAAAAATGAATTCTCAACTCTTTTCTTGAAAGACATCAGAGAGTGGCGATTCGCAAGTCATCGCCCTAGATCCCCTATTGTTTCTTCTTTAAACAAATGAGCTAGCGAATATAACGAAATTCCCTTATGGTCCTCTACGCTGATGATGCAAAAATCTGACTGGAAATTAGGGATATATGTTCAAACAGCTCTAAGCAACTTGTTTAGGTGGTCCGAGAAGTGTCTGATGCCTGTCAGCTCAGGCAAATGTGTGAGCATTCATAAGGAGCACATAGATGGCAACACTTATTATATAGATGGGACTCAGTACCGACACACAATGACCTACAAGTCGTGGTAAGTAATAATTTGAAGATCTCGGGATACTGTCAATCCGTCACAGCTCAGAGTTTTAGGACACTTAGATATTGACGGAAGTTTATAAAAATAAGTGGTAATGTGTTTACAATCTTATGTACATGCCTAGTTAGGTCTTAACTATAAAAACTTGTACACGGGCAGCAAATCCTTGTCTGGAAGGTGACCTAGACCATCTGGAAACAGTTCGGAGGGCAGCCACTCGTATGATCCCTGAGATGGTTGGCCTGAACTTTGAAGGCCAACTAAAGGAGGCAAACCTCTTCTCTTCATCCTATCGCAGACGGAAAAGAGATCTAATCATGAGATATTCATTCCATATACATGACTTCGGACATGAACTATCTTCTCTTTCCCTTCCTACTAGGTTGCGATATAGCAGGAGAATATAAAAGCAAAGGATGAACATAGTCTCCGTAGAGTACTTGTTTTCAAGTCGAGTAGTCAACTCCTGTAACACACTCTAAGAAAAAGTGGTTTCCGCTCACTCAACTGACTCATTCAAAAGAAAACTGAACAAGCACACAGATCTACTTGAAAATGATTATTATAGACACAAAGCCTACTATCCTCAGACAACAAATCTGAATCATCTTTTACAGAGAATAATATCGGTTCATTACTGACGTTTTGTACGTGATTTCTCCCTGGCTTATTTTCATTTGGTTGTTGTTCGTTGTCTTGCGTTTCTTCCCTAAGATGGTTAATTTTGATTTACAATACCTTCGTTTTGACCATAAAGTGATCCATCTGACCAAAATCCATTTGCATGTGAAGTAAATAAGTGAGTTTAACTAGTAATTTAAATAATAATGACCTCTGAGAGTTTGTATAAATTTCAGTCTCATTTCAAAAATCAAAAACCGAATATAAATTAACCACATTTAGTTTTACTATCTTTACTAAACGAGTAGACATATCAAAATTTCTTCAGTTACACAATACCCAAAAATTGGTAGACGTTCTGCACGTTTTAATAAAATTAGTAATAATATAAACGAGAATGTACCAACGAAGTAGTTAACAAATATGGTGAATGAGTTTGATGTATTTGGATTTCCTCATTTTCTTTGTATATTCACCTACCTTTTTGTCTTGTAATACTTACGATTGTCTAGCGTTTAATCCACTAAAAGACACCCGAGGTATATACAACTTCAGTGAGTTGACTACTAATCATAACTTTTAAGGAAATAAGTAGATATTAATTCCATTTTTTTATGTAAAATATTATCCTGTATGTATCTGGCAAATTGAGAAAGAAAGCAACTTTTTATTCTTACAAGTGCTTTTTAAACCAGTAACTTCAAAGGCCACCCTAGCAACTGCTAAAATAACCAATGTTTTAATATTTTACCTGGTATGGTTGCTTTTCATAAAATAAAGAAAAGTAATTAGGTATCTCATCAGTTGCTGGGGGGGGGCTTTTAAATCACTCTTTTAATCTGGTTGAGTGAAAAATATGGACATAAATCGATTGGTAAATTCTATTCATATCCACTTGATGCATATCTGTAACCAATATTTACTAGAAAACTAAAACAGAAGGATTTAAATTATAAAAATTCTAATTGTATAAAATAAAAACATTAATTTCTGTAGCAAGTGATAAGATAGCTATTCACCAGATAAGGAACAATGGCACGTTATTCTATCATCCACGCGTTTTCAAAAAATAGTAAACTGCTTTCGCAAAGATGTATTATACTTAATGTTTGATAATTCTCAACAAACTAACTTGTATTTTATATGGATGCTAGTTAAGATTTGATGGCGTAGTTTCACAAATATTGGGCGCCAACTGAATCCGTGGTATTCGATATAAATGAGACCGATAAATCTCAACCTGTTCGAAATAAGATATTCCAAGGACTGCACATTAAGGTGGTTTATGCGGCTTTTGACTTGTTCTATATATCTATGATAATGTAGATTTTGGTTGTTCCCTTAAAGAAGCTCGGACCAAGTGGAACATTGAAGTTTCTTGTTTCAAACACTCTGAAATTTACCTAGATATGCCTTATAAAACTGAATTATATTCTTGAAGCAGATATATTAGCTGGTTAGTGGATAATTAGCTGAATCGTACTTAGCTTCTCACAGTTGGTCAAAGTCTGTTGGGTGAAACTTGAAATAACCTTACTAAAGTAAATACCCATTTTTATCAAGAAGTTAGTGTTTCCTTTGGGTTGAATGAATTTATTACGGGTCATTATTTTAGCCACTTCCATTCTTTTAACAGAAAGAACTTGATTTTGTTCCCCAATTCGTTAATATTCGTCATGATGGTATTTTTTAAGCCTTTGGGTGAAATACTTCCAATCAGCATATTCTGATAGGATGAAATCCTTCAGCCGACAATATTAAATTTTGAGGAGACTGAATACAGCCTGCAGAATAAATTTTATCTTGTTATTAGTAGAATAAAAGCACTTGACATCTAGTAAAACATTTATCATTGTGGTGTCAAAAATTGGTTGGAACTCATCTCTATGCATCTAGTTAATATCTTCGGACTTTCAGCGCATGCTGAGAATTTTAAAAGGGAAGAGGAGTTAGAAATGTCGTTATTAAAATTGCCAGTAACGTAGAGCTTTAATATAGTAAGTTTCTGTGCCATTTTCGTACGCATGCTTCTCCGCCAACCAAAAGAAACTTTCAAGGTTGCATATAGTGTTGGTGAGAATATTTGACGAAAACAGCAAAAACGTTATTCAGTGACATTATTTCTAATGAAAATACTGATAGTGACAGTAATACTAGAAATTTTGCTTTATTCTTCTCACCTTTCTGTTGATCCGATTCCATCTTATGATCACGGAACACTTCGTTCTCGAATATTGTAAGTTCAGCCATTAGATCGCGTCCATCGAAAATAGCTGCATCCGTTTTAATTGACAGCTCAGTGGTCTTTGTGTTCAACGGTCTCAGTGATTCATGCGACAGTGGACCTTTGAAAACAAAACTTTTGCTGGTTCCATTACAGACAAATGTTCCGTCTTGCTCACCTGAATTTAAATCAGTGGTGCATTTTTAGCCTTGATTTTCTTTATTTATAATGAAATCAAAATTAAGAAACAAATATATTTGCGAATATATTTGCATGGATTACTGACCTTACAAAATGGTATTTTCACTTCAAGGGCTTTACAGGTAACGATCGTAAAGCAAACAGTAAAAGTAACACTTAACATGTCATTACAGGTGAGTAAATCTTAGAAGCTACACAGCCCATCTTGAAGCATTCCTGTAGTTCTATACACCTACATCTTTATTATACTAGAAACATGAAATGTGGTTGAAGCTACACGCTGCAGTCGTTTCAAACATATGACTCATCTAAATGCATTTCAAGAAGGGTACAGTATTCTTTAAATATTGTCATTACACTGAATTGTTTCCAAATCAAAAAATAATTAAAATCCATTATAAATAAAACAAAATCAAGCATAGAAGAGGATTATGAACTGGGAGATATGTAGTGTAGATTATGACACTGTTCTATTCACCAACTTATCCTAAGTGACATCTAAGTAAGTCTTCTTATCACACATTTCGCGACAAATCCAAACATGAGAATGAATTGTAACCCGTTTTCATGTTTTAAAATGATTGATAAATGCCATACAACAGTGCCTGATATATTTAGAAGAACTACATTAAGTGCTTCACTTTGAAGGTAGTACTAAGTAAACTTTGTTTACTTCTCTTTATTGATCTTCACCAACTAAACTGACAATCTCTAGAGTTAAGATAACTAATGCTACTTTTATAGCAAAAATGGCGCATTCAATCCTCAGGAATATCACGGTGTGTTAGTCGAAAGCAATTTGACAAACACACCACAAGAAGAAAATACTATTGTAACCATATAAGTAGTCATATCCACTCACCTAACAAGACACCCACAGAACATACACACTTCATTACTTTGCATCAAAATGAGCAGGAGTCATTGACTTGACAGTAGGATAAATTTCACAAGTATTCGAATGGTTCTGAATACTTTTTCTAATTCTTCCACCTAGCTTCCCTAGCATCTACTGATTTTCTTAAACCACATTCAAACGTTTTGAAATTCAGTGTTTAAAATCCTTAGTTTTTCACATTCTCGGATATCAAGTGAAAAGTTGTAAGTCCTTGCAATTGATAAAAGTAGCACAGTTCAAATAAAAATTATAAATTATTTAGAATGTTTCAAGAGTTTTATTTTCCAGCAATCCTTTGACAACACAATCCGATTAAAGCATTCCTTTATAAAATTAAACTCTAACATGTGAACCCTGGTGTTAAGATTTATTGTTCATGAGTTTCACTTTGTACTTTTTTGAGACTAACAGAAACCCATTATTCTAAGTTTCATTCACAGTTACTATATTACCTTATGTTTTTTCTGAATCTCTTTCCTGGAAACAAAGCTCATCTCAATTTTGGTCACTCAATATAGTGACTCTAAAACTGCTTAGAAGTCTTATACAAAAAACACTGGAACAACAGGATTTACATGACAAGATAGCCTTGACTAAATTAATAAAAATACATCTTTATGAACCTGAAATAAAACTTACTTGAAAAATGATAAGGATTTTCTTTCGATGACGTTCCACTGAAAAAAGTCGGGTATCTAACACCTTTCTGGTACTGTATGTTTGATTCGAAATTTTTAAGATAGGTATTCAGGGCAATGTCTCCTTCTTCCTGAACTGAATCCACAGATGGAGTGTGAATGAACAAAGTGTTTGGTTGTGATCTCAGCTGTGTTGTACCCCATTCACTCATTGCGATCACCTTAAATCAGGAGAAAGGTAAAATTTAAAGCTAAGCAGTGGTAAACTACTAGTGTGAGTGAAGTAATTTCGACTAAACGTTTGATATTTTCCTGTTGATGAAAGATTTAGTCTTTTATCAATGTATTCAGAGCAAGAGGGTTCATCTTAGCAGACAACTTTACAGTCTCTTAACTGTTTTTTATCTCTAATAATAAAGTAATCTATGAATAACTTATGTGAACAAAGCCAAAAAGATCATTCTTCACCAGCTTTCATTCCGGCTTAACGACACGTAAGAAAGATTCCCATCTCTATGTTTTTCATATAAAGTATCTTGATAAAGACATGTTTTAATTAAAGATATCATCAACAAAGGTTGGAAGGACTTCTTGTTGTTCTAACTCTTAGAATAATTGCTCCACCTTAAACTAAGTAATCATATTCGTTATTTCACATTCAGATTTAGCTTTGAAATAGAAATTTCAGTATTGAAATAGTTTCATATTAATAATCTTGCAGATAAAGTTCTTTATGTACGTTGATTTCAAATCGTTTCTACCCATTTAGGTGAGCTGCATTGAGTGTAAATGGCTAAATACCATGAAAACGAAACAAAGATCCGTCTTTGTAATTGCCTAGTTCTGAAGGTTTATGAACTAGAATTACGATTTGTAGGATTTCTCTACTTTATATTTACAAAATAAAATTCAAACTTTTCTCAAATTTAAAAATCACAACACATACATGTAATAACAATATATTGAGAAACGTGATAACTACAGACAGAAAATATTTCACGATTATTTTTTTAAATGTTAAAGAAAAATATGCACTTGAAAAGTGTATACCTGAATTCGATAAAGTACTCCAGGGTATAGATTAATCAGTTGGTAGCTCGTCTGCGACTAAAATCAAAAGTAAGCATCGGTATTAAGAAGGAATCAAGATGAAAAGTTTCCTTTAGAAAATCATTTCAATAAATGTTAATAATTTACGAATAAAATAACCATTTTTTTTGAAATTTGTATTTTATATTAGATCAAAGTATAAAGACTTTTTTATGAAGTGTAATTTAAATTTTAATGATATACAACTAATTTCTCATTCTCATTAATTTCATAGCGGTATAATATGCAGGCAAGAAAAATTGGAACACATAAAAAAAAAAATTTTATTTGAAATTCTTTCAAGTTTGTATGAAAAGTAGACTGATTTAGTAAAAGTTCTAGTGTTGATATTCTTCAAACACGAATAAAATGTTGCAAGACACTCATTGGTTATGAGTGTTTGATAATCAAAATTTAGCAAAAGTAATCAAATTCCTCTAAAAGTTAAACTTAATTATGCTGAACAGCTTCGTTTCGAGAAATTTGCCATGAAACGTTTTTTCGATACCTTTAACTCATCTTGTATGATATAATAATGTATTCTAATATTTAAGTGTGTCTTAGTGATCATCACTTCTGTAAATAAATCAAGAGATTTCAAGAAACTTTTATTGGACAGATATTTTATAAACTGCACGAAATTATTTTCTTTTGGAAGAACTGTTAGTACAACTAGTTCAATAACAGAAAAATGATAGGCATGTGTTACATTATTTCAGATTTCTGTCAACAGTGAAGTTTTCACATCAAATCAGTGATACGATTATTACTGCTATTATTACCAGTACCATCACACAATTCTGAAATCTGAAAAGTTACTCGAACATAAACTCTTTATGACTAACTGGTAGACGATAAAAAGCGCCGACTAATTGTGAACTACTGGTTAGGGATAAGAAGACTTGTTTCTTATTATAATAATACTGCTACTGGCATTTTGATTAGAGCTGGCAATACAGCTTCGAAATCCACCCAAAATGGAGTGACGCGGAATTGTGTCTTATTCATTTGGTGTGCGAAACTGAGTCATCACTCTACAGTTATCAAAATCATGATCTGAAATGTTATTCTTACTCAGTTGTTGTAGCATCGAAAAGACACTCAATGTGTACAAGCAAAATATGGCATCTATTAGTATTTCAGTTTACTATTAGATGACTTTCAATAAATTAAAATAGGTTTTCTCATATGACCGCATTCACGCTATATTTATGCTTCATATTTACTTATAAAAATCCGTTACAATAACTGCATTTTGTTGGTGGCGGCTATATCATGAGAACTGATTGTGACGCTTTGCATTCACATGCCAGGAAAGACTGCAGAGGTTCACTGTGAGTACGAGAGTGCACTTTCACTAAAATCAACATTCTCTTATGTTGAACGAAAATGTATCCTTTTTTCTAGAACAATAAGTGTACACACAATACCTCGGCTGTGTTTTGAAGTAATATCTGGGGTTAACAAGGTTATAAAGAAAGTGTTGATAGGTGAATTGTTATGATGTATCACGTACTTTCATTCGTATACATTTGTGTACAAGTGAGCAAAGGGAAAAACTGAATCATCTTATTGCTACTCCTGCCACGGGTAGAAATTTTTAATGCAGACAGGAATTTTGTAATATTAGCCAAAAAGTTTAACATTTTGTGGACAGATCACTTGGTGAAGTATCATCTCAGTCTATTTATTTATTTCTGTAGAGCAACCTAAGTATCTGTAAACTGTTTCAACCAAGTAAATATGCTATGGAACTCTACGCATTAATGTAACAATAAAACCTAAGCACCGTAGAAGTGCAAAATTCCGTTTTGATTTGCTTGCTGAACATTTTGCCCAGTCATTATGCATATAATACTGTTTCACTGAGTGTAATATCGAAATAACAAATTAAAAAAGAACTCTGTATCACCTATTTAATAAGTTAGAATAGGAAAGGAATCATACTCTACTATAATGCAGAAATTGTTTAGTTTCCCTAATGAACTTTCAGATCGACAAGGTCATTATAACACATCTAGTTGCCTCACTTTAATTTCCATTTTTATTGCTTTGCCATTCTGACTGTGTAGTTCTAGACTTTTTAGAATGCTAATATAATTTCATATTTTCCAAAAGTGATGTCGACAGACAGTCCCACTATCTACTACTTTCTTGTTCTACAATTTTTGCGTAGCATCGAACTAAATTTCGTTATTAATGAATGATGTTAAACAGCATTTCAGGTGTTGATGCTGTTCAGAATGTCCACCTCAGTGAAAGTGAAACCAAACACATAAAATTTACTTGCACTGTTAATCTATAGATGGAAGTAAAGTTGATGACACACATAACTGATTGCAATTTAATTTGCTGATATTTAATTTGAGTCACTATTTCAATATCATAAATTTCCATTTATAAATTTGGACTAACTCCCCTATCCACAATGAACTGTCATAAAGCAGACAAATAAAGCGTTGAATGCGAATGCTTAAATATACTGAAAAAATCCGTGTATCATAATAGTTAGTTGCTTTCGTAATGTGATACATAACTGGTCAGTATAACACACCAAAGGTTTCTAAAGTGTTTCTAAGTACAAAATGATGATACGTTTCTTTTTCACTACAGGAAGCAAATGAAAATATAGTTACATATCTATGTCAAAAATATAAACTAGTCTATAATAAAGCCAGTAAAATTTACTTACAGATGGGACAGTGTGCACAAACTGAGTAGGCTTTTCGGTGAACTCATAGTTATTTCTTATATTCGCTAAATCAGGACCCCAAGAGACCTGTTTGTGAAGAAAGTTCAATGAAAAAAATGGTTGATAAAAAAATGCATTCAATTTCGACAATTCTTTAATTAATGAGAATATCTTACTACCTGTTAATGAATTGAAATTCTGCAAGTTTATCATGGTTTTACATTTTTTGAAACTGCGTTCATATCAAACATATTTAAAGCGGCTTTTTAGATTGGATAACGAAATACAAATATTTAAAATATTCAAGCATTCAGAGAAGTACTATAATTCCATTTTTTTCATCAGCAAACTGCATAGCTTTCTGATAAAAACTTACTCTATATTCAGTAACTGGTAAAATGATTGTTGCAGGACTGCTCCAACGAATCTGAACTTTAATTTTTCCGTTAGCTTGCACGGTCAACATTTCATCGGCTAAGTCTCTTGGAGGTGATGGAGGACTAGGTTGTGGCGTTGACAGTTGAACAGGAGGAGATGGAACGTCGAATCCAAGTGACCCCCATTGATTCACTGCTGCAACTTGAAACTGATACCACCAACCAACAGCTGGATCACTTAACTGAGCACCTTTTAAAGTAGACTAACAAGTGTATCCACAGTGAGTTTATAGAAAACTATAGTTGTAAGTTAAATGAGCACCAAAAGAGTAAAAGATTCATTCTACGAATCCTGAGCTAGCCATCATCAACTAAATACCATCAGAATTTTATAATGTTTATAACAGTGCATACGTATTACTTAAATGGCTACTAAGTAATTAAAATCCATGCAGATAATCGGTCATAAAGTAAAGCATAAGTATAGATAAAATATGCTGTTCTTTTTGATTTACTTTGCCGAACCATAACCTTATTTGGTTTTCTTTCTGAATGTATTTACTTTGCCAAACTATTCATTCACACTTTCAAAGTAGAACACAACACGTGATTCTGAACATGTAAATTTACGATAAAATAAATTAACTCTTTTACTTGCACACCTAATTAGTTTCGTTTACAACACTAAGTGAAAAACTAATTTTCAGTTTATCTGGTCTTCTAATTGACCAACCAACTAGTTGGTTTTTGAAAAAAGACGGATCGGTAAAAAGCTTAAGACTGTCAATCACCAGATTCTATTGATAGGCGACCTATTTTTACCGTTTCATTTTTTTGCCAAAACTTCAGAAAAGTAGACAAGATATTTTTCTGATATCGATGATACTCAGAATATTCGGTCGATAAATTCCATATAACCCTATACTCTATTTAGTATTCCGTTTAGTATTCTGTTTTCATTTCCGGACCAGACACTAACTACGTAATAAGCTAATGTGTTTAACAACCATTGTTTCACGGTTTCCATTGGATCATATTAGTTCTAACAAGCACTGGGTGCACTTTTTCCATTTCTAAGACTATAAAGTACCGCTTTCTTATATATGGAACTTTAAAAGGCATATTTGGCTGATTCAAGGTTTTCACAGATAATATTGGGTGTATAACAACTCTGAAACTGGTGACTTTCATCTTGAGAAATTTCTAGGCAACTTATATTGATTTTCAATCCCTTAATATTTGGTTATCGATTTCCCAGGAAAATTGGGGACATTTATCGCCAATTATTACTTCAACTGTATGATCAGGTGGTCTACTTAAATAAAACAATAGGTTCACCGATTTGATTTCACTCACTGCTCAAAAAATGTCCATACTCCCCTTAAAACTGTTATCAGAGTTGAAAGACAGTCTAATATTCAGCAGGCATACGCGTACGTTGGAGGAAGTGTAACCAAATTTAAGCTGTCTTCTTGGAAATCACAACTACAGGATGCATAATATTTACCGTATGACATACCTAGGACCAGTAGTTTCTCATAATCGTATCAGTACATGAGAATTTAACAATTAAGAACAAGACAAACAGTTATTACGCTCTAAGCGGTATGTTACCACTTTACTTCAGACAATTCAAACAGGAAGTCAGTAGTTACCCATACTGAACAAAATAATTTCAAGTCATGTTAACGTTTGTTGGAGCATTGCAATATATGCTTCGATTTTTGCAAACCGTTTACGTTTGTGTCCTCATTGTCCAATGAATTAAATTACATGTCTAAGGTCTGAAATATCATCTAGCTTTTTTATCCATACACAAATCTTTCAAAACTGTTCTTGATGGAGTGCAAGTAGTTCTTTTCTTCTAATTCGTAACTCGAAATTTGACAGGACCAAGTTAACATGAAATTCATTATATTCCTTAATAGCACGTATATGTAGATTTAAAAAGCACTCTGGCAGCGTAATTGTTCTTTTCTGAATACACACTAGTCACATAAATAGAAGAACAAAACAGAGAACGGAAACGAAATTCCATATTCCCTGCTTTACATTTCAGTGAGCAAAATGGTGGAGGTAAAACTGTTGTAAGCTTTCGTTTAGCAACAAAATTAATGCGACATGCTTTAAATATCTATGCAGCTTTTCATTGGAGAACAATTTACGGTGGTGAATTTAAGTAATATTGTTTTGAAAAAGGTGCAGACAGTTCATATCGAAAGATTCACATCAAATGTTTCAACCAGTTTTTCAAAAATGCTAATGTTCATCAATATCCGAACATTATATTTGCAATAAGGTAAAGTAGTATTTTGACATTTTCACTTGAAACATTACGTTTTTATATTAAAGTTCTTTGACAAACCATTGAGTTGCTCCGCACTACAGTTTTAAAAGTCACTGAATAATACTCTATCAATGATCAACTTTTGATTATTTATGCTTGCTTTTGTGTGGTCGAGGTCCTACGTTGTTTTGTTTGTCTGATAGTCTGATCATTTTGGACAATAATGTTAAAATTCATTGTCACAACCAAATAATGAAACATACAACACTGAAAACTGCCTACGTGTTTGCGGTAATTTGTACAAGTTAACACAGCTTAGCTGACTGATAGGGAATTAATAGTCTATTTAATTATGGAACAAACTTCTTCTTACGCACTGAATAACACTAAACAAGCTAATCTGTGACCTTAAGAAGAATTTTTAATTACTAAATAGTTGACCCGATAGTGTAGGTCTGAAGAGAGAAAATATAAAACAAAATTAATATTATTTCCAACTAACAGTTAAAGTTCACCAACACCACTCTCACAATTTCACTTAAACTAAACGTGAAATTATTTTCAATTTCAATGTGTATTGATGAGATTTTTGCTGCATAGAATAAATTTGCATCAGTAATTAATATCAGACCAAAATATTTCTTAAAAGGTTCAATTTTCAGAGTTGAGAGTTAGGTGACTCATCAATACTTTGACGAAAAATGTGGCAGAGCTTGTGATGTGATCTTCCCTAAGATTTTTATTTGTGCCTTATTAACACAGCATTCGGGTAGTTTTTGATATCCTACTACACATTTATTCTCAAAGAAATGCCTTGACTTTTATTCAAGGTAGTAATAATTCAAGTTCAACTTTGATAAAGTAGATGAAATTTACCTACAGACTGAGAACCATAGTAAGGAAAAGAACAATTTACTACTGAGTAATTCAATTTGTAGATTTTTTGGGATTCATTGGCTTTAAGTTGGTTATCATTACAAGCTGAAGTCGGTTAGAGAACCAGAGGAAACCCAACAGTACTTGACATCTACTTCATCATAGTATGAGACCACTCAACTGTGTGCACTCACTCAAACTCGAGACCCGCACTACTGAGCGAGTGGGTCAGAATCCAGTGATTTACATTTTCCTATTGCTGCCTATTCTCAGTATAGCATAACCTTTATTCAGTGCTCACCATTGATTATTTGCTTTTACATTCGACTATGACTGCCCTGTTCGTTGGGAATGCTGATTAGAACTTCCTGAAATCCCATCTGGTAGCATATCACTGATGATCGCTGCAAGTTCTCTGCGTACTTACTCTGAATAAAAATCTCCTATCCACGGAATGTCTTTTTAAAAGCCCAGGAAACTCCTGACACTACCTGGGACAATACTTATGGATAAACAATGATGACTTTAATAGACTTAGATTCACCTGTACTAAAAGTCTTTCAAATCCAAGATGGAATGGAACACAAATTGACATTCATGATCTATGTGGTGAAATTTCCTGGTGCTTGCATTTTGATAAACCAAGTTAATTTTAGTTTTACTGTTTACGCTTTGGTAGCGTATTGTGCTCACATTCGTAAAAATATATAAACGGAACTTTATAAGACTTCGTCTGGTGGCTCAAACAGTCCAAAACGTACACTGGTTGTGAACGAGGTGGACAGATATTTAAAACTCCTGTTAGAATGCACATTCTTTCGGTATTATTCACATAAGTTAAACAGCAGCTTCGTCGAAAAGTTTTTCACAGGCCGTATAAAATTAATAATCACCCTGAGTTGGTTACTGAAATAAAATGTTGGGTGTACAATCCCAGTTTTTCTAGCTGTGTTTTATCATCAGTCACAGTAATAAAAAACTCCACTTAAATTAAGACATTGCCCCATCATGTCTTCGAAGCAGGTCAAACTACAATCCTACAGGACCCAAAATTATACATCTTCACTACTCTGAGCATTAATTGTAGAACCAAGAAAACAGGTAGAACATAGAATCAGCAGCTCTAATAACGCATTCTTACTACTTAGGTTAGTTACTTGGATCATCAGAACTAGTAACAAAGAAGTAAGATGAACCGGAAGCAACTTGATACTTTCTGAAAACTTGAATAAAGTAAATCGAAATGTCTTCTTGTAGGTTATTCCCGAAGCTTTCGCCCTCCTTGTTCTTTTTCCTCTCCTTTTTGCTAAACTTGACAGTTAGTGAAATGCTATTAATGGTATAATCTACGAAAACAAGCAGCGAAAGAATTGACACAAACGACAATTAAATGACCTGACACTACTGACAAACTTACATACTAGGAAGAAACAATTATCTAAAGAGGGAGGGTTAGGTACATATTACATTTCAAGGCTGTCCCAGAAAGCGTGAAACTAGAAAGCTTCTTAGATCAATACAAGTCTTAAGTGGCATCCTACTAAATGAATAATTTGATAAAGAACTATGTACGTATCTTTTTATGTACGCAATAAAAGTGAATTATTTGCTTCCCAGTTGTTACAGTGCATTTTTTTAGCAACTGTTTGTTAAATTAGGTTACTTGTACCGGCAAATTTGAAAACATTTGTCAAGAGTATCAGTTAAATTATAATTTCAGTTATGCAGTTATTTTGCACAACTATACAGCCTGTGACGCCAGTGTGCATAACATTTATGAAATGAAATATTTTGTTTACATTGAAAGTTAACAAAAGGAAATGTTTAGGTTATTATTACAAGGTCAGTCACCAAATACTGACTAGTTCGTTTTCTGAAATCATAGTACATTAATGGTTGACTTAATTTGCGAAGGAGGAGGAGTGAACCCCGGAATGTGCACTTTATAAGTCTCAGTTCACAGTAGCTGAATTTTTTGACCTTCGGAAACATGATTAAAAGGTCTGACCGTGTGGTTATTAGCAGCTTACTTTTAATATACTGCCACGGAATGGCATTTTGGGGTGCAGTTATGTAGGTGGACTATTCGCCAATACATAACTTTCATCTTATAGGAAAACTTTATTCTTGGTTGTGAAGTGATTGTCGATGAATGCAACTTAGAAAGCAAATGACAAAAATAATCTAGGGAAACATGAAATGTAAAATGTTAGTTCAACCTCAGTTACACTTTCACGTACCTAATATATTTTATGAACTTATTCTTCTTATTTAGTTGAAAACCAACTTTTTAAAGACTTTCATCTAAAATGAAATGAGAGGTTCTCGCAATAATGATCTGGTGGTTGGCATTTGCTACTAATTTTGACCAACATAGATTTTCTTGAAGCATAATAAGATATGACATAGTGCATCTGAAACTGTCTGGTCGCTCTGATCTTCACTATACTAAAAAAGTTAGATTGCTCATGTTGAGTAGCTTTCTTAAATTCAGTCTGATGCTAATTTTGACCCACAATAATTCTTCAAAATATGATCAGAGAAAAGAAACAATTCTCACAGGTTCCAAGACATGTACCACTTTTGACAGTCAGCGCTGTACTAGTGAGCCTATGGGTAAAATTGTTAAGGTGAGTAATAGCGGGTAAATAACAGTATTCGTAACGAGATGTGTGGACATAATAGATCAAAGCAGCTTTTGCAAGCGTTGTAAACTATAGTAAAAGTTGAGCAATTGGATGATGTGATGTAGGCTGTTATTACTATTGTAAAATCTGAACAGTGCTAGTGTTATCATGCCAGTGACTTGCATATTGAAGATTCTGTCGATAGTAAATCTCATGGTCACTTTCATCTTTTGTCGAGTGTAAAATTCAACTATATATATATACTAATATAGTGCAGCTACCTGAAATAACTTGTTAGAAAAATGAATCTCACTAGATTTGTTGTATCTTATTACTTATAAATGAGCATAGGATGATGAAGAAAAGGTATTCAAGCTTCCAATGGATCAATTAAGGTTCTGTTATACATTTAGTTTATGCTTCAGATATAAGCAACATTTTTAAAATACTAAAACTTGCATGCTTATACTCAGTGATAAACAACTGAATTTCATTTAGCTACATACATCCAGCACACCAGGCACACGAAAAAAGATCCAAGTAGTGATAGGTCATTTCATTTACAGAAGTTGAATTGGTAAGAGAATGCACATTAAAGAAGTAGACTAATCTGATACCATATCAAGCCTAATTTGAAATGGATGTGCAGCATTAGTAAATCAAATCTTATGATTCTAATATACCTTAGATAGCTCTATAACCACAGACAAGCGATGTGCCACAATATGATTCAATATATCTTTCCAAAACTGAATTAAGATTAATATTTGGTTTGATTGCTTACGGTACAGATTAGCAATAAAAGACAATGTCTATAAAATTAGCTGTAAATCTGTATAACAATAAGACTATCTTTTTCAGTGGCTTTGGATATGCCTTTCTACCTTTTGCTTTGCTCACACTGTGGTAGAATAAACTATGCAGTAATTCTTGTAGCTTCAGTTATTATCATTATTCTTAAGAAGTCGTCACTTTTCTACGCGCAGTGAAATTGTCACTTTTACCTAAAACAATTTATAATGGTCATGATTACCATTACCAGAATTTAAATAAACAGCTCACTCAAATCCATATATGCAAATCAGTATGTTGCGAAACAGGAACGTAAACTAGTCACATCATTCATCGAAACCTGCAGAGAGTTAGTAAGGTAGAAATGCACCTAACTGAGTTCAACACGCAAGCATATATATAATATATATATATGTATATAAAATAATTTTTCCAGTTGCAGTTCAAAATGGCTGAGCAGCAGACCAAGTCAGTATTTACTGAGTGATTTTACTGACAAAAGTAGATGTCAATAAGCATATCAAATGGATTCAATCACATTCTTAGTAAATGAGTCTGTAGCAGTGTTTGTCTTATCAGAAATATTTATATAACATGAAAAACTACAAGTTGACCTAGTGTCAAACATGGTAACCATTGAATATTACCTGCGAGAACTAAAGCGTCCTAATGACAGCTGCTTAGGACAGTGTTAACCGCTTCTGTGTGCAGTTTCAATAAGAAGAAGTAACTCAATATCTCACACCCTCCCAAAACTACTCCAATAATTTCAGTTTGTGGTTCAGATAGTATTCAAGTGAATTAGCTTATCAACACTGATGTTGGCACCTAACCGGTTTATGATTCATCATAAGAATTCCTCGCTGTTACTAAATTGAAATTACTGCCTTCCACACATCACCGAATAGTTCATCAAAACAATTGGGTCAATCACCACTAAACAACAATGTAAGAACCCTTAAAATGACGTCGAGATATAGTATCTGCTTGGTCTCATATCTAGTTTTTTAAGAAGTTAGCTGTCTATACAGATGGCTTATTTGTTTTTCACTAGTGTGTGTGGTTCTTAATGCTGTACTTTCTTTATCGGGTTTCTTTGAAACATACTTTCCAAACCTAAATGTTTAGTCAAAATAGCGTTTCATAAAAAGCAGTTTGATGATGATGAACCTAACAAACGATGAATTGGGCAAGTTTTGATAACGTTAGTTGACGGACTGTGTTGTAACGAGTAAACAACTGAGACTGAATGAAAAATTGGAGGCTTCAAGTTTGAATCCAAATTCAGCAGTTCTAAATCTGTGAATAACCATTTTATCATTCACAGTCCTACCATATTTTAATTAAAAGGATGTTTGAGTCTCATTTACTTATTGCTTGCTAATTTGTATATCGTCCTTATCCAACTGCTATGTTTCAATACCAGTTTTCAGCTGCTTACTACAGTGTTTGCAACTGTTTGAGCATTTTCTGGATGGAATAATGCCATCCAACATTTCATGGCCTCTTGTTGAAAATTCATCTTATACACCAAGAAGCAAGTCCATCACTATCAGTAGATTATTACGTTTTCGATGCTTTTGTGCAAAATCACCTTAGTTTAGCATATTATTAATTGCAAAGTGACATCAGCTAGATGGCAGCATACTCATCCTGTAAACTATACATATTTCCTGCAAACATATGCGTGTTACTAGTTGTTCAATTTCTGTTATTAGAAAAAAGCGGCCATTCTGCACTGCTTGGTATTATTGGTTTTTGAATTGATGGCAGACTTAAATGCAGCCAACCTTTAAGTATTTTAGATATATTCAACTATTTTACAGGAATAAACACCAAGAGGTATGTTTGCGAACCTGCCAAACCATGGCTATCTCAGGACGTCGAATTGATAATCACTATCATGTTTTTCCTCTCTAATTCAAATTGATGTGGACTGAGATGAGAACGTCTGGCTGGACAGCTACTGTGAATATGATGAACGGATTGTAACGTAAAGCGAATTCACATAACAGTCCGACAAAATCCTTCGTGACTGAAGTGAAATTAAGATCTGGCCAGAATCTCGGTCATTAGAGCTCATTTAGTTAAGCACCAGGTCGATAACACAGAGGTCTTTGATTTGAATCCTTCTTTGGCACAGATTTTCATCTTACCTCAGTCACCACTCAGTATAAAAGTAATTTATTAGAAGTGGTGATAGCTAAGAACGCTACACATTAAATTTCATACTTCACTTGCTTTTGGAAATCTCACCATACAATGTAGTAATAGTAACTTTCCTGAGCTGCTGATTCACTACCTAAAACTCTTGTAGTAGTAGATATTTGACATTAATTGCTTGAAAAATAGCAACCAACGTAGAATTCTCTCCTTAATTGTTGATTCAATCCTCACGTCAAGTGACTGTATTTTAACCAGTAGAATAAATCAACAAATGCATCATATTGCAGTATCCTCCAGCTGGTCTCAGTCACTACATCACACTGCTTGGTCAACAGAAATATGTATTTATTAAGGTCAGTAGAAGAAGTTTTAGCAACCCTCCATGTTTAATATATCCTATTTCTAGGAAATGATACTTATGAACATTTCATGAAGCTTGTATAAAGGTATGGCTTCAAAGTAATTTTCATAATTGTCAAGATTACAATATAAACACCAAAATTCAGAGTGGAATGGAAAACTAATTGAAAGTCATTTCCTCTGAACCCTAAGCCTGTGAATTATGTGAATAAAAAATGTTTGGTGTTTCCGTTCTAAACAGATCATCGCAAAAATAGAGACATTCAAAGAACAGTGTTTTATTACTCACCATAACCAAGGTTTCCATGGGCTTGACATACGATTGTCATACTCTGGACCAAAATAGGATTTGACTTGCAGGACATATACCACTGGTAGGCTGAGATTATTGACTACGCTTTCCCCATCATCCCAAGAAACAAAAAACGAGGGCGGATGTTTTTCTTCTAAGATTCGTACAGTTGGAATAGGTGGTAGGATGGCTTTTGCAAATAAAAATTTTAGTACAGTACAATTATAAGGTTAGCATTAAAAGTGCGACTAGACACTTGGTTTAAGTTGATCATGTTCAGGATTTATACACAATGTTTACTGAAAAAATGGCAGTGGTGTAATTAATTTACAGCTTTCCTTGCCAGTTAGAATGTCTCGATATCATTAGACAGTCCACTAGAGCAGTTGAATTAGTCTGATTTGCCTTTTAAATGACTAAAATTCGGTCAAGTTTTGAAAGATAAGGATACTACGTTACAATATAATTTTGCAACAGAGATCCTTGTTAACTCCAGTATTCTTTTTCATTGATAAATTTTACGGATGGGCTTTGGGTAATGGTGGTTATTTATGTGTCTAAGATCTACTGCCTTGTGTGCAAAACAATAAATTATCTTTAATCATGAAGCCAACCGTTCATGTATTCTGAATTAAGCTTGTCAATTTATTGAAGATTAAATTTACGTTCACACAAAAATGCAAGTTATCCCTCTATTATTACTTTTAATCAAACAATAATGTTAAATGCCTAATGACTAACTTCAGAAACCAGAAATACAAAAACAAATGTATATTCAGTCACAAAATGATCTTTACATTCAGGATGATAAAGCCAACGTGAAACCTTGATTGCTGCAGGACTTGCACTAAGAGTCCCCCTAATACTGGAACATAAGTGTGTAGTCGATAAGCCTGATAGTAATAATCTCAAGATAGCGACTTCGAATTTTACCACAATCAAATATTTCCGTTGTTCATTTCTGCACATATATGAACACGGATTTGTCACCAGGGAGTAACTGATTTAAGTGTCTAGTGCTTAATGCTTAGCACTGACAAAACAAAGACTATCGATCACACGTCACAATATGACCATTAATGTAAGTGATGTGACACCGTGGTACACTGTGCTTTGTGGTTAGATGATGGAAGAAAATCTTCACGGCTTCCTGCTAATTGATTTCTAACACCTTACATACATAAATATTCATAGTTCTAGAGCCCCATCAACACTTATAGTCCCCTCATGCGTGCTTCGTGCATACTATTCACACTTTTTACGTTTGTCTTATTCATGAAAGATATAGTAATGGGTCTTCTATCAGGACGTTTTCAGCTTCAAGGTTGTACGCACGAAACACTATGGTCAACAAGTGGACAGGTGGTCCTTTTTCTAGTCATACTCGAAATTAAACTTAATATACTATTTGACTAATGTAATCTAATGATAATAAGTTTTCCTTCTCGTATAGTTTGTTTAATTCCATCAGGTATGTATTAATAGCTTTAAAATGACATGGGAAATAAACTGTCATCGAGTTTTCAGTGTTTCTAATATCTGACCTCTTCTGTTCACCAATATTTAGTTTGCAAGTCAGTAAAACTTTTGCCCATGTTTATACGACAATAAAATGACTCAACTGAAAATACTTCATATTTGTGTTGGTCAACTATTCATAAAGAGTTGCAAATCACCTTTATTCAATACAGCTGGTTTACATTTTGACTGACAGCATTTGTCTTGTTTTTGTGGACACTCGGCATCGACTAGACAGCTGCTCAATTCATTCAGACTACTACTATGGTGTGCAAACCGAGAATTGTCTGGCGTTTTAGACTTCTGATGACTACCACTTTGATCCAAGGGCAAACTTTTTTCGGAAAAACTGGACCGTTCTTTTCCAGATAATGATTGAGTAGTTTGTTGAACAGAAATCAAATCCGGTATACGATGAATCGCCAATCCAATTTGTTCAGGACAATCACCGGAACGCTTTTTCAATGCTGCATCTAATGCCCGACATCCAGTTAAACATGACCAACCACCGGGTGAGTCACCAGACTTTAAAAAATAAAAAGATGATGAAAGTTAGCCTGTTGATGGATAAAATAAGTGTAATTTACAGAGTTTTGTATATTCCTTACTACCTCTTAACAACTGTATCTAATTTGATAGGTGCGGCTACCAAATAGTACAGTACCTTAAGAATGGCATACCTTTCATCAGGATACCCTTTTCAATACTGGGTGACAGACAGCGAATTCGTTCTATTATTCATATCTTAGGCTAGAAGAAGTGAAGATTTCGGTGGAAGCAATTTCATGATTTCGGTTTTACCCACTTCTAATACGATGCTGGTGCATTCTTAAAATATATTGTTGTGTCTCTATAACTTCGAGTGATCTTTTGACTTAAACCACCTTTTACGATATCCACTGACCCTAGGTTTAAGAAACCAAAGTTCCTGGAAAAAGAAAACTGCTCTGAATATTCGGATATTACACAAATGAGCTAAGATAGAGCAAATCTTTCATGGAATGACATTAAAGCCCACCTAGTTCCCCAACTTTCTAACAAAACCGTTTTATGGTTAATATGCAAATAATGGAATGTTCACTTCTCAGTGAACAACAATGTGCGAAGTAGAGAAAAATTGCATCTATATTATTTACGTAGCGTGATTTGCTTCTAAAATTGAGGTCAGTGAATAAGAGCGTTCTCAGCAAGTGCCTACCCATATATATATTTTTTACCTCTTATTATTTATTCTCTTTCAAATATACCAATTTGATTAATGATTTATATCACGCAGGCTTCTGTAAACTGTGAATAAAGATCATCCTTTCAACTCATTAGGGGAAAGCAGTAATTTTTCCTCATTTTCGTGCATATAACTGCTAGTAAGCCTTTTATTATCATGAATTAGATCAGCTTAGAACACTATTTAAATGTTTGATTGTTTGCTGCATAGATTTTTATCATTTCATTCATTTAGACGTTTTTGAAATAAAAGGTATTCATTTGAATTTATTTGTCAAGATGAAGGTAAATCAAGCCAGATTAATCGGGTTGTTGATACTTTCCCTTTCTTTTCAATTCCCCTTATTCCTAATTATCACATGAGGAGTTTTTGTTGAGATTTTAATGTAGTAAAGATGTAGAAGCTAGTCCTATTCTTAAAAGTGAAAAGGCAGTGTGATAAATATATTTGTCTCTTTAAAACATAGTCGTGGTAACACATTTAATCTAGTCTAATGTGTACATAAAGAATGCGAACGCACTCAGATTAGCATATCAGTACTTCAACCAATATCGAACTAATAAAAAAGACAGTTATCAAAAGCTGTTAGTGTCATTTAGCAAATATACACTTCCTTTTATTAAGGAAGTGACCTTTATCACTATCCAATATTGAAAATGAGCAACACTATTAAATGTGAATTTGCTCAAGAATATGACTAAAGGTTTTGACTTTCCTTTTACTTTTAAAAAGTTCAGATCAATGATTATTTTATTTATTCGGTTAAACTGTTTTAAAATAGTTTCATCATATTTTCGGTTTTTAGATAGTTACTTCATTGACTAAAGTGTTCATGATTGTTCTTATATTAAAAAAAATCTAAGCGTTATGCATTTTGGTTTGTGAAATAGATTAGAGACTGAAAACAAAGCAAAAAAAATTTTCTCGCAAGTTTCATTAGTACTAGAGAAGTCCTAGTATTTCATTGTAGGCATGATACTTTCATGCTGGATTTCATAGTAAATCAATAATCATACCATTATTTTCTAGTAAAATTTTATTCTGCTTCTTAAGAAAGTCAATAAAATTGTTACATTATTGGATAAGAAATGGCAGAGAAACTGGATATGTGAACAATGTAGATTCATTTTCTCCTTAAGTTAGAACAGTACACTGGCAATAAAATTAAATTTATAACCATTAACAGAGTGACTTTAAAGGCCACCTTAGCAGCTACTAGAATAACCAATTATGTTTGGGTATTTCATGAAGAAACTACTTGTCTAGCTTAAATGAAGAAGCCTAATTAGTTATCTCAGGGGTGACTAATGTAGTCTTTAGAGTCACTTGATTTACAAATTGCTACCACACCATTTCACAAATTATTGGATTGGACTGTATTAAGTCAAAATAAAGCCAGAACAAAAATCATGCAGTATGCAACCGTAGACGTATTGCATAAGAAATTCTAGTTTTGCTTAAAGTTTGACAAATGATTGAAGACTGATTTCATAGAAATTCCTCTTTACACTTAATTAAGAAATTCAGAGTTGACCTAGAAATCACTGGACCTGTTACGTCAACATGAGATTTACATAAAACTCAGAAAACAGGTCATAAAAGTTTGTACACACTTGTACTAACCTTAGAGGCTGCTTGCTGAAACATTGTATAGCTTGTTGATTATAATGTTGAAGCAAACTTATTTTTGTTTTTTTCCAGTGAATGAGTTCTATTAACAAACGCTACAAAATCGTCTCAAGTTTTACTGTAATGTTATCCACTTTGTGCAGGCTAGCTGTGGAATTCAGGACGTGAATTTCTTTTAATTCGAAACTCATCAGCTGGATGCCCATGCACTTCAGTGAATGATGGTATTCCAGATAGGACTCGAACCCAACCCCTGAGTCATAAGAACACCTTTTATGCCACCAGCAAGTGAAAAATATCAAAGCGCATGTTGGGGTTATATTCAAGGATTCCTTGATAAGAACTATATGTCATGTGGGACTAATCAGTTACATTCAGTAACTTACACGGTGGGCACTGAGCACATTAAGCTTCTGATCCTTAAGGACCCATTCAAGTGTCCAGGTCTAACTTGTAAGCAGGATGGTGCAGTGTAAATCAACTTTACTCCTCCGTTGGAGACAATGATGTTAAAAATAGGTGATGCACCCCTAAAACCTTACCAAAGGTTACAGATACTGAAGGTGTGTCTCCTACCTTGTTTACAATATGCACTCCTACCTAGCGCAGACTGTGCTACCAAACTCCAGTAAATGGACTTACATGTGAGAAACTACTTTAGGAAATGGTTCTGCCAAGTCCACGACACTCTAAAAGCCTACTTTTATACGACGATTCCAGATTGTAGCCTATAGATCGAATCCCTACATACAGATATTCCTGTTAGATGAATAATTCGCCTGCGAAAACTTATAATATTGACGTGCCCAATAGTCAAAGCAACGCTATCCACGACCACCATAGACACCACTATCAGGCGTTTCACTTAAAGTGCCAAGACCAATCATCAAGAAGGGAACAAAGGAACAGGTGAAAAAGCAAAGAGAGGTGCGATACTGAACGGCAGTATCATATGAATAATTATTTTGTACGATATATTTATGATGCATATCCGATGAGCCGATAAATTTGATCGTATTTTTTACATAAGCAATAGTGAAGATAACTCGGATTGTCCCTTATTTCGATTATATATATGATCCGGATAATAAACTCACAGATTTGTTTGCAATAACGATAAAATGATATTTCAATATGGTTAAATTAATTGCAGTCCTAGTGAGATACACAATCAAAAATGTAGTATTCTGAAACTCATGGTAATTAATGAAACACCTGACTGTATTGATTCATCATCATAACACGTGTGATCATCGAACAGCTGATAGGCTATGCTGAAAACATTAGTGAATTAACAGTCTGACAGAAAAAACAAACACCAGTTACACTACTACACAAGGAAGTTTATGACTAATTAATTTATAACAGAAGTATCAAATTGAATTTGCTGAAGAAACAGAATGACAGCTAAATCAGAGAATATCTCTAACGCAATTAATATAAAGTACCAACTCCTATTCAGTCTGTTCAGTTGTGTATTTTTAATTATTGTCTAAAATTAGAGCAAAGAAATATGTAAACATAGACGTTAATAGGGAATATAATTTATTGCTTCATATTTTACTTGTGATTATTCTCAGATATTCACTAGTCAGAACTGCAGGAAAATACGATAACCACAACTAACATTAACTTACAACTGGAATTTGATTTATAAAACATTATCATATTCCAAGATATATTCCTAATCATTTATGCAGCCAACTGTTAATTACTGTATATCCACAGCATTTACCAGATTAGATGTAATGAAGAATGGAATATCAATCCCAAACATTCGAAAATATTACGATTTTATTTGATTAACGACTGAATAGCCTAATGGATATTTCTGTGCAGCTAAAGCGAAGTACATCAGGTTAAGTATCGATGAGAAAAACATTATCCACTAGAATGCATGCGACCAGCTGATGAATCCCAAATAGAAGGAAATTCACATTCTGAATTCCACTGCTAGTCACCACCTGGAAAACTGTATTACGACAAAACTTGGGATAATAGTGGGGTATCCGTTAATGTAGATCATACGCTATCAGAGACCAATCAATTCAGTTTATGATAACAATAAACAGGAGATACAGGTATCAATAAATTTCGAAATATTTATTTAACAATATTAACATAATGAATGCAGTTAAACTTTATGCATACAGTAATCACGTACCTCGCACATTTTTATGCAGTCACTATAAAATCGGTCAGAATCACAGGCTTGTTCACACTATAAAAGAATACAGGATAGTAAAATGAATTCAAGTCAGCGTTCATCGTACAAATTTATGGAAAATACATTCACTAACTCCTATAAGATAATAGAAAGCCAATGATATATTAAATCAACAGCATCAGTAAACAAGACTTATAATCAACTCTAGAAAGTTCAGTGTCTCAAGTAAGACTATGCTTACATCATTCATTTAATCGGTCACAGTATAATTAGTCTCTTGTGGTTAGGCTTGGCACTTAGGTACTCAGGTCCATTGTTTCCTATTGCTTACTATAAAGTCTGGTAAACCATGGCGTTAAATATTATTATTTAAGTCGACATACTTTGTAATTTTAAAACATAGAGCAGGTAGTGATAATGAACATCTTTAAATAAAAGTCACTCCCTACCTAAAGTAAAGCAGGAGGCTTATTCTCACTCAATATTGTTGATTATAATGTCCACTTAGATCGATTATGCTATATTTGAAATAATTCCCCCACAATGTATGATGAATATCTGTGCATAAAATTCGTGGAAGATTTGATGGTTTTACGAATATACTCGTTTCCAATGAAAGTAGGTTTGAAACCAGAATGTATTTTGTCGGGAAGTTAGGTGGGTTGAATTATGGAGATTATTCTCAACTCTTAGGTTTAAACTGAACCACAGTGACATTTTTCTGAGTTTAGTATTAACATAACTGTAATAATTTTCATCATTCAACCGAAGGTATTCTCTGAGTGACAGAGATGCATTCAGTTGTTTAGTTTATGTAAAACATGGCAAATAGTCACAAAAATCAGCTGAATAGTACTTTTATGTTGTACGTTTGCGGAGATTGATTGAATTAAAGGCATTTTTTATCGTTAAATGCCGAAAGTCGAATTTTTTTTGTTTTCCGCTTGTTTGGATATCCTTAGCACTACAACCCTACCAGGGACCGATGCAAAACCTTTAGATCTCGTGGTGACATCACTACCATTCAGCTATTGCATTTGAATTCACTGACCCACATTTTATCAGCTTGCTTTATAAAGGTGACCACCATTGAATGCCATCGGTGGGCACTTGTCCTGACACCCGGTTTGATTAACTTCACAGGTCATAGATTCACTTTGGAACTTCAGGAAATGTCGCAATGCAGCATGTCACTGATGAGCACTAAGTAGTTTAGTTCTGAAGTTTGTTGGGATGAACTAATTTTGGTGAGTCTCATACCAGAAGGAAACAGACATTCATTGCTGTCCCAAACTAAACTAATAGCCAATTAATGTCAGACCACGATGAATGCCATCTTCAACATCCATTCCAAAACAACTTACCTCATTGATACTGAGTGATGATGGAAGGTGAAATGAAAATTTGGACAGCGGCCGGATTCAAACCAGCCACCACATAGTTGACAGCCTGGTCTAACTTCTCATTTCACTTTCAATCATCACCCAGTATTAATACTAGTCTGCCAAAACACGACCATCTCCGATAGTCAAAACGATAACTTAATCCATTGTTGTTGACATCGACGGCTGAATAAAATGTGACTACAACATTCAATCAATTATTCAACTTCCGTAGATGTAAACAATAAGAATGGAAGGCATTTGAACTTATAACCTTATTCGGATTCGATTAACGTCAAAACATTATGAAAACAGGCCAAAGCATCTGGAAGGTTTGAAATTCATTGAGAATGTTTAAGAATGATTCACTCTCAGACAAATAGAATGACTGAATACATTTTAGGTGTTTCCACCCAGTAAGCTTTGTGACTTTAAGGTTTTTGTTGGATAAAAAGTGCATGTTAAGTTTAATTAATTAGTTTCCCTTCCAATAAGGTTTACAAATCTGCTTAGCTTAGCTTGTGGAAAATGTATAAACTCGAAGTGAAAATTGCAAAAATGTTACTATTCTGACTTCAAAAAAGGTTGTGTAATCTAATTTAATTCCAAAAATAACACCGATTAGATATCTTTTTGTTTTTTCAGCAAGCTGGTAAAAACTAAATATTCAGGGTTTAAACTTGTTAAATTAGAAGTTTTCAAATAGTTCAAAATGTCATCTCATAGAGAATTGAAGATTTTAGTGTCTACTTGCATTTGATTCAAAGGGAGAAAAAGGCCCACATATCAACAATTACTTTGTTGTAGTATATAGCAGCATTGTTTCACCGTGAAATACAGATGATACGAAGAGATTTTGAATTGATCTTCAAGATTAGCTACCATCGAAAGGTAAATTTCTGTTTCTACTTCCTTAGATACTCTTCACTGCTACTCACAGAAGGTTAGTTTCGTCAGAAATCAGTTCCCTTGAGGTAGTATGTACATCTTCCTGACTAGTTCTAAAGAGCTCCTAACTTGAGACTGAGGTTTTTTGCCGATTATCTGAAACCGCTTATTACTAATCAAAAGTATCCTTGTAGCGTTGTACCATATTGAAAGATATTCAACCTAATGTAAAAGAATTACATACAAAATGTAAATAAGGGCACTTTCAATTTGAGTAATAAAAGGACGAGAGCTGACTGAAGATTCAAAAAAAGTAGAATGCAGTTGGCATCAATATTTGTTAACGAATCTGAAAACTGAATCGCCAAGAGGCTTAAGTCCTTCGCCCATGGCCGACCTATGAAAATGTAAGTTTTAAAGTCAAAGCATCAAGTGGTAGTTATTCTGATGAAACTAAAACCTCTAAATGTTATTTTTTGATAGGTAAACATCAGTATGCTCCTCAGACCTTTCTTCTCCCTAGTTAGTGATTCTCCGTAAATTTTGCCTTTTGCTTCCACTTTTAAAGGTTTGAAACACCTTTTATCAATGGACTATTGCACTCAGTTTTTAGTGTGATTAAACCAGATGGTCCTCAGGTTTCGAATAATTCACTACATATATGCTAGATTTAATAAAATGTTTAATGAGAGTCTAAAATTTTTAAAAACAGTACGAAAACATGAAAGCAAATAATGCTGTTTTCAACGAGATACTACTCTGAATTTACTTTGATTTACTAACCGGATGCAATGAATTGTATGTCAGTGGAATTATTCAGTATGACTGAAATAAATTATACTTATAAAAATAACTCACTTCATCGTAATACAAAAATCCAGGAGACAGTTGGCTACATTTATCTCGAAGCTGAACGGGAAATATCGTCAAAGTCTTCACAATTTCCTCAATCTAAAATTATTCGAAGAAAAAGAAACGAAGAGATTATTGGTACAAATATATCAATTTCATTGAACCTAAGGTTATTTCACAAAATTTAGTGAGATTTAGGTGTGCCTAAGTGTTTGTATATGGATTCATGTTTCACATAACCTTTAACCTCAAAAGCATAGTTGTTTGAGTAATACTGACTCTCCCTCAAAAACGGTTTCTGTTTTCCTAGCAAATAGTGAGGGATAATAAAATATTTCTCTTAGTTCATTTGACCTTATATATTTAAATGATAACGAATATACACAAGGAAAATTCGAACTTTGTCACAGGATAAATAAAAGTAAATGAAACTTTATCCCCCTCAACTTTTACTGTTTTCGCTTACAAAAACATAGTTATACCGCCTTTCCACAGTTTTCTTTGTTAACAAACTCTAAAAAAACCCAGTTTTCTTTCACCACCTTGAGAGATAAAAATTTAAGAAGTGGGTGTAGAAAGGTAACATGGTATAATAAAAAGGTAGACTAAAACTTAGTCTTCGGTCAGATATGGCCCAAATATGTTCATCAGCAAAGCTTATACGAAGAGTGTGAAAAACTGTTTATTCAATAAAGGAGTGAAGTAAAACTATACGAATAAGCAATAGAACCAATTACATTAAATTTAATAATAAATAACTAAATATTATGAATGGGGGTATAACTTCTCGCTTAAACTAGACAATTTTAGAGGTAGATTAGGAGACCGACCTGAATAAGGTTAATCTTATGAGTTCACTTGTCAAGATACTTAAGCCCATGTTGATAGAACTAAATCTAA